TTTGTTCTATCGTATCAGTGGTTGGAGATCGTGGCACGTAACAGACGAGGCGAAGGCGGCGTGTGAAGACGATGATCTGGGTCCCTCAGAACTCGCGCCGGGTCGCGTTGATTCTTGCGCGTGGCCGTGGGACGAGAGCGCGCCTTCGATGCCCGCAGTGACGAACGACGAGCTGATCTCTAAGGAAACTCTGATCTCCATGGAGGGAACGGCGGCTACTTGAGAGTGTCGTGACTATCGTTCAGGGTGTTCGTCCCCAGCAGTGGCCATCGTTGAAGACGAACCATCTATCACCTGCTGTACAGAGTTTTGGAACGCAAGAGTTGTTAAACTCTGTACAAACAGGCGATGGATGACGATGATAAGAATAATACGATACGACTCTGTACACCCTTGTGGTCAGTAATTGTAATAAACTCACGTACAAAAGTTTGAATGACGAGTGTTTTTTTTTACAACTTTTATTGAAACGCAATACAGTGAGAAAACACTACGTTGTATAACACTTTTCATCAGATGTTGAATAAACTCTGTCGCGACATAGGTCGGACCAGGGTAGGTTCTTGTGTCAGTGTTGCTCACTCTTTGTTGTCTTCTTGTTGTTCTTGGTAGAGAGGTGTAGACCGTGAGCGTAGCAAGGTCTTTTTCTCGACCATGGCGATCGCAGGAATCGCAACGAGTGGTTTATTGACCCATACCTTAGTTCTTCTGAAACTGTTGAGCGTTTTGGACATGAGTCGGCGTATCTTTACGCAACATACATGTGCATATCATCCAGTAGTACCACACTAGTAACAGGATACCCAAACAGGACTGCGATATTATCACGCACACACCGTCAAATGGGACAGCGGACCTCTGCGCGGTCACAGTCTTATCCTTACAACTCGCGGCTCCTTGGTATATGTGTGAATCTCGGTTTTAAATTATAACGTCAAACGTTAACAACAGCCCGTCTGCCGTGAAACTGCTGCGCAGCTCGACCGCGTCCTGTTTTTCGGAAGACTCGTGGCCACCGGCAATCGTGTACAAGTCTGAGGCCTTGCTTACGCCAACATTCTTTAGACTGAGCGTGTACACGTCAGTCTCCCGACCACGAATCTTGTTGACGGAATACACAATCTTACATAGGAATGCGCCCTCGTCGTGGTTTAGCGTGGTCGCTAAGAAACTGAATCGCTCAGAAGTTAGCACTGTCTCGCATTTGGGATCGCCTTGGCGTTCCTGTGTCGCATTGGCATCGGTGTACACCATCAAGGCTCGTAACGGCTTGGACGCCCAGCCGCCTTTAGACCACACAAGACGCGTTGTATCGGCT